CCTCCACACGCCACTGCGCACCGCCCTGGAGAGTCACAGAGCCGTCCAAAAGCAATAGCGTGGAATCAAAAACCTCCGCGCTGCCAAAAAAGGTGCAGTCCGCCACTCGCAGCAGCCCCGCAGAGCTCACGAAGGCGTCCCCATAAAAATAAACGCCATTAGCCGCGCTCATCGTGTTGTTCTCCACGTCAAAGTATCCGCCATTCTTCACAATAGCAGATTCAAACAAAACAGCGGATTCCAACGGAACGTCCTCCTCCGCTCCCCTCAGCGTGTTTCCCTTTATAAGGATCCCGCCGCCATCAACAACAACAAAGGGTAAAAGAACGGCGTAACTTTCCCCTTCAATGACGTTGTCGAGCAACAGCAGTGTCGAGTTCGCACCAAGAGAAAACCTCTGGAATTGAGCGGCGTGGCGAGACCTCATCACAAGCGTACTGCCCGCCACCAGTATCTGGGAGCTCCCACCAAAATCGCCCCTGAACTCCAATGAACCAGAATACAGAATCGAGGAGACCACGCCCAAGTGCACGCGCGCACCACTCCCCTTGATCGACAGGCCCATGAGGACGCACTGCAGCAGCGTGATGTTGAGTGTCTGTTGTGGTGCGGCAAAAAGCGACAGGTCAAGCACGATCGCGGCAGTAAAGGTCACGTTGACAAAGCACAGGCCACGCACACCGGGATCAGGATCGTCCACGAAGCTGATGCTGCCACCGTGCACGCAGCGGACCTCCGTGTCGGTTGCATCGGGGAGCGGCCCAAGACCGTCCGGAACCGCAGCTGGCAGACACGTGTCACCGTGGCCGCCAGCAGCGCACACGCACTCACAGCCGCTGATGCTGCTCGTCCTCGCTGCAAAGCACACGGCGTCCACGGTGCACGCACCACAGTCCAGTGCCGTCACGGGCACTCCAATATTGAGCTCTTCTTGGTAATTCGTCACAGGAGAGCCCCTTGCCTCGTTGCACATGCCGTAGATGGTCGGGCACGAGTCGGATGGTGGTGACCAATCGTTTGTCATGTGTGCATGGGTCGACGAGTACGAGCCATACGTGAGCTTGTTACGGAGTATCGACCACACACTCCGATCGCGGAACGCAACGCCGTCGTATTTGATCACTTGCACGACGTAGGCGGTGCGGAACTCGTTGTCGCGGTGCACCAGCCAGCTGCCATCAGTCACAGTCAGCGTGTTTGCAATGAGCATGGCGAAGCCAAGACGGAACTCGCTGGACACAATCTGCAGCACGCTGCCGCCATCCACCGCAACATCCAGAAACACACACGCGCCCTTGTAGTATCCGGTGTTCGGTGCACTCCACAGGCTGTTCTGTATGGAGAACACGGAGCCGCCGCTGACACGCAGGTCCGACGCAAGAGCGTACATCACGTGCGACTGCGACATAACGACGCAGTTGTCCATGTAGAAGACGCTGGAC